GAAAGTGTTAAGTATCATGGATTGCATCCTGCCTTGTTCTCTTGAGTTTAGCTGAAGTTCATTCCCGGTTTTAGAGATTATAATCAGGGACAAACTAACCTCTGGTGTAGGGAAGAATTGCTATAAACATTTTAAATTCTGGCAGAGAAGACTCCACACTAATCTCCTTATCAGGCTCTTCTCTCTGCCACAAGGGTAAATTACAGGTACTACTTTCTACATCACTGTCTAATATAAAATATTAGACTAAAAATGACTATATCTCATAGTATGACCACTTGGGTTCAACATGTAGATTTATGTATAGTGATGTATACATTACAGCTCTCAGTATGTCTTTAAAAATCTAATTATATGATATTTTATCCCAGCAATAAGAAAAAGCTGATCTATAGATTTTCTTGGTATACTTAAAACCAAATTTCTATTCTAGGAGGCACATTTGGGGTGTTACTACTTCTCGGTAATTCTTCTTTTGGATCATTTGTTTGGTTCTAGATGTATTAATGGAATGGTAGCCAAGCTGTATGCAGTCAAGTTGCTGTTATGCGTATTCTTCCCTTTAACCAGAATGTTGTTCCTAAAAACTGTATTAATACATCAGAACTCAGTTTTAAATTTTGCTTTCTCATGACCTTTCCTTGCCTAACACCATGTAAATAGGTCCTTCCCCATTCTTTTCCATCTTCACATCATTTCTGTCTTCAGACTTTCAACCAATCTAAAATCCACATCATAACCTACATCATCTGATTCCTGGCCACCAACTTCACACATTCACTTTCCACCACTCTTCCCTGTGCTCTCCTTTTCATGTAGACTTCCGTGCTGTTCCTAGGATGCACAGATAACATCCTTCTGCAGAGGGCACCCCCCCATCACCACCACCCCACCCCCACCATGTCTGCAGAGTTTGCTTCCTTATTTCCTTTGGATCTTTTCTCAAATGTCATCAGTCCAGGAGGGAGGGCCTTTCTTGACTCTCACATCCACAAGAGCAGTCCCCGCCACTCTCCTTGGTCCAGTCTTAGCTTTTCTTGGTGGCATTGTATGTGAATGCATTCTGCGTCTCACTCATGAGTGTGTAAACTCCGCTAGACTTTATCTCTTTTGTTCATTAGCCACAAAGCTGAAAATAACGTTTTCCATAAGGCTGACACTCAATACTTATTTGTTGAATTAACTAATCAGTCCCTTACTATCTGTTTCCACCACGACACTCTTAAGGACCAGAAAAGCAGAAACTTTTGTTTCTGGTATTTCTATAGTATATTATATATATAAAGAGTAGTATATCATATGTATACCTTATGTGTATATACATATATGATATATACATTCAATGAATGAATATTTATTGCATGAGTGAATTTTTTGTGTATGCGCGTGCATATGTATTTATATGGATAATCTCTCTCTCCCCATGGTCTTTAACAGCCACAGAGACTAGAATTATGTCTGTTTAGTTCACCACCGTGTTAACCAGTTAACCTTTCTATAGTAGGGTCTGAGAGCGCCGAATCCTAACCACTAGACCACCAGGGAGCGTCTATAGTAGGGTCTGCCTTATACCGGGCATTCAGTGAGTGAGTAAAGACTCCAAAGGACTAGGACCAGGGTAAACAGGAGCCAGTTCTGGCCATAGCCACCAGAGGCCTTTACAGGCTTAATATGAGGTCTTAATAGAAGGTAGAAAAGAGTTTGGAATATTAAGTCCCTGTGTTCATCTTTTCAGAGCCCAGCCTGGTCCTGGCAAAATCTTGCTTCCCAAACAAGGTCCAAGAAGCTGGTGTAGACTTCTGAGCTTCTTACTTTCAGGTAATATTTTTTGAATTCTGGGAGGAGTAAATCTTAATTTCAATCCACAGGTTTGATTTCTTTGCTTAAAACCTTTGCCCTGAAGATTCCAGATAAATCGGTTTATGGTGCCAAAGGGCATCAAACAAGGAGATTTAAATTTTAGCATAAAACTTCCCACTAACTAGTAACCTTGAAAATACTTACTACTTCTTCAATGTTTCTCACTTGAAAAGGAAAGATGCTAGGAAAAAAAATCAAATTATGGATCTATGCATTCCGATTTGCTGAGATGCCTTTGGGAGGCTTTGTCAAGCATCTTCTTTCCTTCTCCTTTGCCTACCTGCTCCAACCCCCCTTGGTTACTAATCACAGCTTGGGTGAGCTACGGTTACTGATAGGAATCTGTCAAGCACACAGAGGGAAAGAAAAGTTAAGAACCACTGGCCTGTGTTTTTCCTGCCATCTTTCCCAGAGCCAAAATGTCATGAATCTATGAACTGTACCTTGGTTCACTACTAAATCCCTATCTTTTAACATTGTTTAAATTACTGCAGTCCTTAGTTCACATTAATTTTTGATTTTCTACTGTGAGTCAGGAACTATGACAGGCACTGAGAATATGAAAATGAATTTAGAAATGGTCTCTTCTCTCAAGGAGCAACCATTCAGCAAGGAGACAGATGCACCAGCATATGAGAAATGCTTTGACGGGGCCAAATCAGTGGGTGACCTCTGGATACATCAAAGGTCACTCAACCTGGGAGAGGGACTAATCTGGAAAATCTTCCAGTAGGCGACCAGAAACTGAGTTCTAATTTCAACTAATTGACTTATAGACTACTAAAGTTGCACAGTGTCAGAATCATCTAATCCAAATTCCTTACAGCGCACAGAGGAAAACTGATGCCCAAAGATGCTAACCAACCCATCCAAAGCAAGCACCACAGTTCTAACCAAATAGGGCCCAGATAAGTATTATTGGGCTGCCTTTCTAAACAGACTTGTATTTTTTTGTAGGAGCATTTTTCAGAACTCTTTCTCTCATTGGTTTAATGATGCAATTAATCAAATAATTAACCATGTTTTAATAAGGTAGAGGGAAAAAATATTTATACACACTGACTTCATGGACAGCAATGGTGCCAATAACTCACCATCCACAAATCAGACTTTGCAGTTGGCTGCTGGTTAATTTATTCAGCTACATCTAGTCTCATTCTGCCTCTTGAGCTGCTTACTAAATGGACCTAATCACACTGGAAAGGACAGGTACAGTCTGGCTGTGAACGAGAACAAACTTTAAGAATAGATCCCCGTGTGATTGCACTTCTTCCTCACAACTGCGTCAGGAATCTCGGGGCTAAGGTAAAACCCAAGAGGTGAAATACTTTTAGTAGTCTTAATATATAAAATTGCTCAGGTAGGCAATTTTCTTGCAGTTGGTTTTTTTCTCCCAGTATAGTCGTTTTACTTGGGATATTTAAGGGCTGATTTAGTAATGGGACGATATAAGAGCTCATAACATTAAAACAGAAATTCGTGGGAAATCCATAATTTCTAATAGCTTGCCATCTGGCTCTTAGCGGCAATGGATTTATCCTGCTTAGTGTAGATGATGATACTGGGGTGAAATCATGGATTATACCCTAGATTTCTGAGTTCTTTAACTACTGTTATTAATTTAGTAGCTTGCAAATCAACGTTTCCCAACATAAATCAATTATTACATTTTTAAATTTAATTAAATTGATAAATTAATTTATTTATTTTTGGTTTTTATTTTTCAACTCTTAATCCAAGTAAGGTCGCTATGGGCACTACATACTATCTGTTCTGGCGCCAACAGATTGCGCTAAAGTCATCCACAATCTCTCCAAATTAAAACCCCACTGAGTTCCCTGGCTTTTGCACTGTACTCGCAGCGGGATGCTCTTTCGCTTTGCCCCACAGTCCAGTTTAATCCGCTAGGAAGAATATTTTTAGAGGCACATCGGACTAAATCATCTCCGACTGAGCACACCATTTCCAAATGGCCGCCCAGGGTCCTAAATCCGGCTGCTGCGGTCGGGGACGAGCAGGTGTCCTCCGCTGCGGCGTCGTGGGACTCTCGCGCCTGCATAACTAGACGTCGGAAGCCAGAAAGGAAACCCGAACACACAAGCACAGGTACGGCCTCGTACGCGCGCTCCAGAGAGCCCCCCCACCCCACCGCAGAGCAGCGGGGGGTTCTAGCCTTGGGCTTGGCGAGGTCCTGGGAGGAAGCAAACACTGCTTCCCCATTCTAGTCGGAAGGCAAGACGCACCGGGTCGCGGGTCAGAAGTTGAATTTCAAGCCAGTCCGCGCTGCGTCCCAGCGCCATCCGCAGCCGGGGTACCGCGCTGACACCGGGCTGGGGAGAGAAGGAAGGAGGCTGGCCGGGGCAGGAGAAACTGAGTTGCCACCACCGGTGCGCGGCGGACGGCGAGGGGCAGAGGAGACCCCGGCCGCCTTCGGAGCAAGAAGCCGGAAAGAGTCGGGCTCCGCGGCAGCGACGCTGCGCCCCCAGCCCGGGCACTGCTGCCGGTGCTCCGCGTTGCCCTTTCGGCCGAGGGCAGCTCCTCGCCGCTGCAGCCCAGCCGCCGTGCGCCCCGGCACAGGCCACCCCGGGGTGCGCCTCCTCCGCCCCCGGGCGGCCGCCGGAGCAGCCGCAGCCCTACCGACCTTCGTTCCCCCGCGCCCGGACAAACTTCCTCCCTCTCGGGCCCGCGGGCTGCGCAGGCTGGCAGCGGCTCCCTCGCCAGGCTTCCCCGGTCTCCGGCTGCAGGCGCCCTCGCCCGGCGCGGCGAGCTTCCTCCCTGCCCCTCTCCAACCCCGAGCCCCGGGCGCCTACCGGTCTCTGCGCCTCCGCTCCAACAAAGCCGGCGGCCCGGAGGCGACCGGGCGAGGGCCTGGGAGTGGCAGCGGGGGCGCCAGAGCCCGGCGAAGGCATCCCTGGGCCGGGCGAGCGCAGCGTGCAGGGACAGTGGGGACGTGGCGGGCAGAGAAAGGGGAAGAAAGTATCCTGCTCTCCGCGCGAACGCCTTCTACGCTCGTTTTCGCTCGTCCTCGCTCGCCCTGCTGCCCCTGCCCGAGCGCGTCCGGCTGTCCCGGTGGGAGTTGGCAGGGGCAGAGAGGGAGGCAGAGGGGACGCAGTGGCCTGGCGGGCGAGCCGCTCCCTTACCTCTGTCCAGAGTGAGCGGCTGGACCACTGTCAATGTCGCCATGTCTGCCGTGGGAGCCGAAGTGACGCTCGGCTTCAGCATCAGCAACCGCTTGTAGTGAGAAAAAGAGGAGGAGATTGGGGGCGGGGGTGGAGAGGGAAGACGGAAAGGACGGGGAGGAGGGGGGAAGGAGGGAAGGTGGTGGTGGTGGAGGAGAAGAAAGCTTGGGTGGGTTGGCAGCCAGATGGAGACGCAACTGTTCCGTGGCGGGCGGACCTTCAGAGGCGGCGTGAAGCTGAGCAGGTAGCGGAGAGCGGCTGCCTCGCCGGCTCCGGGCAGGAAGGCTGTGCCCTAGAACTTTGCTATTCCACCCCAAGGAGCGCTGGATGGGTGCAGCCGGTGTGTTGCTCTCTTTCAACTTTCCACTCAAATAAAAACGGTCAGAGTCTTCGTGCGTCTCTCGGGATGGAAGAAGACTGAAAGGGGATGGGGGGAGGGAGGGAGGGAGGAAGGAAAATGGATTTTTTTTTTTTCAGATTAAGAGAAATTGTCAACCCAGTAATCCCATCCCTTAGAAAACGCTTCTAGTTCAGAAATATCAGGATTTCATTATAGTTGCTGTTAATTTCTGTTAAAGTGTTTTTTGGAATGTTGAGGTATAACAGTATCCAGGATAACGGACTTAAGGCCAGTGTTCCATCACTAGGTCTCCATTAAGGACCCGAGTGTATTGCCTAGAAAATAATATACCTTAAACACAAACTTCTTAAAAATGGTTTTAAATTAAAAGACACACACACAGGGGCGCCTGGGTGGCTCGGTGGGTTAAGCCTCTGCCTTCGGCTCGGGTCATGATCTCAGGGTCCTGGGATCGAGCCCCACATCGGGCTCTCTGCTCAGTGGGGAGCCTGCTTCCCCCTCTCTCTCCACCTGCCTCTCTGCCTCCTTGTGATCTCTGTCTGTCAAATAAATAAATTAAATCTTTAAAAAAAAAAAGACACACACACACAAAGAGAAATTTCTGTCACTCAGTTTGAAAAACGTGTACCTAGCACTTTTGGGGGTTGATTTATAGCCACTGGTTACTAAGAGTTGCCACTCGCTGATTCAGTGACGTGTGCGACAGGAAATAAGCTAGGAGGGTTCCACGCCATGTGCAATGGTCTCACTTGGGAGTTGAGGACAGTTCCTGCCTTCATGTAGCCTGTGGTCTGGTGGGAGATAATGTTATTAAAAGGATCATTTTAGAGTCAGTTGATCAGGATTCACTGACTAGAACCTTCAAATACTGGCTGTGACCCCTTCACCCCAACAGATGGCTTCCACTATCCTGCCACTGTAGGGACTTTCATTTCCTGATCAAGAAAAATAAGAAGCAGGGCGCCTGGGTGGCTCAGTGGGTTAAAGCCTCTGCCTTCGGCTCAGGTCATGATCCCAGGGTCCTGGGATTGAGCCCCACATCGGACTCTCTGCTCAGCCAGGAGCCTGCTTCCTCCTCTCTCTGCCTGCCTCTCTGCCTACTTGTGATCTCTGTCAAATAAATAAATAAAATCTTAAAAAAAAAAAAAGAAAAGAAAAATAAGAAGCATATAGAAATCTTATATAAGCAGAAAGGTGATGACTGTGGGTTCAGGATTGGAAATGACAAAGCTGCCTCCATCCCCTTCTCTATGACAAAGCAAAATTGTTTTGGCTAGCGATATATTCCTAAAGGCAGACACTGTTTTACAGCAAAATATTTGCATGTAATCTATTTCATTGTCTTCCAGTTACAATGTGGGTGGTTTCTGAAGATCTTTTCCATCCCATTTTTTACATTTGAAAAAAAAAAAAAAAGGCAAGATTTCACCAATGATTTGAGCAAGTCAAAGATGACTGGCCATACACCAAGTAGATCCTAAAGACGTACTTAAAATAGTAGTTCAGTATGCCTATATTTTCATTTAGTGTTTTAAGAAAGAACTCTGATCTTGAAATTCAAGTCTTAGTTATGGGCTCTTCAGAAATCACATAATCTCCCACTGATCCCTTCTCATCTGTCAAACAGAGGAATTAATAACCTTCCATTTCACTGAGATTCGGTAAAATGAGAGCACTAATTTCACTCTACAATCTCAGTTTTGTGAGGGTCTAATGATATGTGCATGTGACTGTGCTTTGAAAACAATATATACATTTACTCATACAACAAACATACATCCCACCTGAACCGCTAGGCAAGCACTATGCTAGGGGCAGGCAACACAAAGATTAAAGAGATGTGGCCCTTTCCCTGGACAGTGCTCAGTCCAGGTTGGGAGACAAAAAATGAGCAAGCTGTGAGAATTCCATGCAGTAAGGGCTCTAAGCAGCGTAGAAAGGACAGGAAGAGGCAACAATTCTGGTTGATTATCATTATTCACATCCCCTAAATCAAACAACAGAAAAAAGTTACATTGTAACAATAAACAGCAGAGCCTGTTCAGTGGATTTGCACAAAACATCAAACCTCATTCAATAATTGAGGATGAAAGGAATATTACAAATCCATTGGTCACTAATGCAGTACTTTTAACAACATACTTTATTATGAATATGTATTTGAGCGGCTTGATTCATAAATCTAAAAGCCATAATTGTAGCAATTTCAACACAAATCCCAGATTGTGAGGTCTAGGAAATTAGGTTTTTGTCTTTTTGTTTTCTGATGTATACCCAGTACCAAATATTTTATAGCATGTTTCTGGACTTATACCTTGAGCTCCCTAATTGAAAGTTTGCTCTTCCATAATCTCTCTATGTTGACTTTGTAGAGTTTTTGTAAGGATTGAAAGAAAAAGTAAAAGCACAAATTACCATTTATTCATTAGTTATTCTTTCTAGTAGTGACAAGTTCAATACCTTTAGCTTATGTCTATGTAGGTCTAGGAAATTAATAACAAACACTGCATATCTATTAGAATTTGTTTTTCTATGGAAGATGAGTAACTATCCTCGATAGTATTTGTGAGTTTCTACTTTAGATATGCAGAGACATTAGAAAAGTTCCATGCCCTCTTCTTTGGCATTAGGAAATGTGATCATACTTAGGTCTCAGGAATAATTGCCTGGACCACTATTGTACTAACCATAGTATTCCATCATGGTCAATGTATTTGATCTATTTGTATGTGTTTTGTTTTGTTGATTGTGTGTTAATCAAGGAATTGTTAAAACAGGTAATTATACTTTTGTTTTAGCTATTTGCTTACACAATCACTACAATTTTTCATTAAATTATATATAGTAATTTAGTTCAGTGGTAACTATTTTCAATAGAATTCATTAATTCAGTAGATACTTATTGAGCACTTAATATATGCTAGGCTTGGTGCTAGGTTGGTTTCTCTCTCCTCTTTGAAGCCCAGAAAAGTAGATATTGTTATCCCATTCAATAGATAAGTAAACTGAGGCTCATAGAGGTTTAGCAACTTCCTTAAGAATAGTAAGACTCAGATTCAAGAGCCCTGTGCTTGCCACTAAGAACTACTACACTTTATTTTGTATTACTGAAGATTTAGGGATTCCAGCATTTTGTTTTATATATATATATATATATATATATATGTGCTATATTACACATATAATATATAGAATATATTATATGTGTAATATTACATATTACACATATATACATATATATGTATATATGTGTGTAATATATGTGTATATATGTGTAATATATAATATATATGTATATATGTGTATATACACATATATATGCATATATGTGTGGTATATGTAATATTACACATATAATACATATAATACACATATAACACATACAATACACATATATACACAATATACACATATAATACACATATAACACATATATGCATATATATGTATATATACACATATACACGATGCCTCTTCCATTCTATATCCATATAGGTTAATATTAAAATGACTACCTACTTTGCAAAATAAAATCTGTTCTTGCTAAAAAATTCATTCAAAGCCACATTAAGGTAGGTTTCACTTAATTGAATCCTTCTGAATTATATGACAAAATCAAGAGAAGTTTTGCATAAAGAATTTAGTATACCAAGAGAATAAGTTTAGTTAGATTATAAGTGGAGTATGATAAGCACAGTGTCATATGAGGAAAATAGCACCTACAAACGGGAATTCTTTCAACTTTAGGTGTTAGAAATTATTTTTGACTGATTCAAGATATCACATTATCTTCCTTAATTCTCACAGCTTTGTCAAAGTAACACTACATTAGGATGAAGTGCTAACCTATACTTTGGAATATAAATGTTTGTGTTATTTTTTAAAAATCGGCATAGAGAATCTTACTATATTCATTTAATCCTTGGATCTGTTTTGATAATTATTTGTTCATTGAACAATTAATGCACTTACTTTATGCGATGCAGTGTTCTAGGCACTGGGATTTTGCAGTAAACAAGAAAAAGCCCTGTTCTCACTTGGCTTATGGTCTGAAGGAGAAAGAAAGACAATAAACAAAGTAATAAACAAATAAGAGAGAGATCAATTAGTGACTAAGTACTGCGCAAAGAATGAATGATTTCATGACTGAATCGGGTCTAGATAATGTCAGATAATATTTTACAAAAAAATAGTGACAGGGAGAAGAGCATCCTGAGCAGCAAGAGAGCAAAGCCAAGGATGGGAGAGCACACATAGTGTGTGTTTGGGTAAAAAAAAAAAAAAAAAAAAAAAAAAAAAATGCTATTTAATTTGGAGAAAAAACAAAAACAAAAAAAAAACAAGCCACAAGGGGCCTTTGAGAATCAGGTTGTGAAAGATAATACAATGAACAGAAATGTATTGAAGCTTTCCATGAGTTACTTTGTGCCCATCATAAATGAAATGTACCAATACAATCCAGAGCAGGAAAAAAAAATGTGTATTGTAGCATCCACAATAAAAATTACATCAGAATGAAATGCAGAGTTACTAATTCAGAGTTGGATGTTAGGAAAATTAAAGATGAAATAAAAATATAAAAAGTCAATTCTAATTATTTTTTATTTCTTTCAAAAGGAATAAGAAAGAGGGGCGCCTGGGTGGCTCAGTGGGTTAAGCCGCTGCCTTCAGCTCAGGTCATG